TCTAGTCCAACCCTCTGCTCAGGCAGGAAACCCTATACCATTTCAGACAAGTGCTTGTCCAGTTTCTTCTTAAAAACTTCCAGTTTCTGGAGGCAAGTTGTTCCACCGGTTAATTGTTCTCACTGTCAGGAAATTCCTCCTTAGTTCTAGGTTGCTTCTCTCCTTGATCGGTTTCCATCCGTTGCTTCTTGTCCTGCCTTCAGGCGCTTTGGAGAACAGCTTGACTTCCTCTTCTTTGGGGCAGCCCCTTAGACGTTGGAAGACTGCTATCCTGTCACCCCTCGTCCTTCTCTTCATTATACTAGACATGATCCTTCAACCGGTGATGACATGACACTGCAACTGTCATAACACATGCTGGGTGCCGAGTGGCCAAATTTTGACCAGCTGGGATGCTGAGATGGCTGTAAGCACAAGGATCGTTCAATAAATTACTTCCCTCAGGGTCGTTATCACTTTGAACGGCTGCTAAACGAATGGTTGTAACTCAAGAACTATCTGCACAACCATTGAAAACCAAGTGAAAAACCAAGATCAGACCAATTTTGGCCATTTGTTTGGGCTCACCCCCCTCCCCCATTTTGAAGAAGGTCACCCCCAACTGGCATCCAAATTAAAAGGGTCACTTAGCACAGAGAGAGAGAGAGAGAGAGAGAGAGAGAGAGAGAGAGAGAGAGAGAATGAATGAATGCCTGTTTTTCTTCAGCTGCTTCCTTTTCCCCCCATTTCGGCCTCTGTGCCTTTCCTTCGAGAACCGAGAACCGCTGTTTGCAACTCCAGTTATCACCCTGGAGACCAGCTAAACAAATCTCTCAGAGTTAATTCAACTGATATTCTGAAGATTGACTGGATTCTAAACAAGGGAAGAATGGGGGAAGGGAAGAAAATCTGTTTTTTAGGGGGGATTTTTGTGCATGAGGGCTGAATTCTTCAGGGCTTCTCATGAATCTCTGCTTTTCCTTTTTATTTGCAGGGCTCTAAGAAAATACAGAAAATGCAAGATTATACTCACCGGTAGCTTCATGTGGGGAATTTTGCTTTTTTTTTTTTTTTTGAATCATATTAGAGTTCATTTTATTAACAAAAGGCCTCTGAGACCTCTTTCGTGCTTGGTTCGGGGAAAACAGATATCCTGAAAGAATCAAGAAAGCTCAGAAGTCTTTTATTAACTTGTATTCCCCCCCCCCCTTGGGGAATCGCTACAGCTGTGTTTTTCAACCTTAGCAAATTTAAGATCTGTGGACTTGCAACTCCCAGAATTCCCCAGCCAGGGAATTCTAGGAGTTGAAATTCACACCTCTTAAAGTTGCTGAAGTTGAGAAGCACCGCACTAAAATAGCAATAACAATTAGAATTATATACTGCTTCGTAGTGCTTTACAGCCCTCTCTAAGTGGTTTGTAGCAGGGGTCCCCAACCCCTGGGCCACAGACCAGCACCAGTCCATAGCACACCGGAAACTGGGCTGCACAAATGAGCAAAACCCCATCTGCAAACATACAGGATGTAGGCAACACACAAAATCACACTCTCTCTGGTCTGTGGAAAAACCTGTCTCCACAGAACTGGTCCCTGACGCCCAAATTTTGAGAGCCATTGCTTTACGGAGTTAGCATATGTTTAATATTCTGTTCTGCAGTGATTTGCCTAACAACCATGCCAAAAAAAGTTGTTAAATCAGATGCAACTCATTGAACAACTACCTTGTTTTAGCAATGGAAATTCTAGTCATAAATCTAGGACTATCTTTACACCACAAACTTCACTTCAAAAAATAAAATAAAAATCACAGCGAGGCGATTTGATTCTTTATAACAATTGCCTGGGTAGAAATGATTATTTCTGGATTTGATCCTGAAACAGCCTTTCATTTTCCCCAGGAATGCCCTGAAACCTGGAATGTGAACTCAATCTTGAAATATAGATGTTTTCGTATAGTGATTGCAGTTGGAACGCAGAGCGTCCCTTGAGAACGAATATTCCATCTATAACCCATTACACTTCACTCAGCTTTCAGTTTAGCTCATAATTATTGTGCCTTAATTGATTGCCCTGTTCTTCTTGCTACAACAGAAGGCTGCTGCCTGGGCTGAAATATAGAAGTCATTTATCCCAGTGCCTTTTAAGTTGATTGTAAGAACAGGATAACGCCAAAGAGTTCATGGTGGATGTTTTCACTTCGATCCTTCTTGTAAAATGTCAGATGAGGGACTGGGTCTCAGCGGAGGCTCAATAGAGCCTCTGCTTCCCTCCTGGATGGAAGTGCCAACCCAACCTCAATGAAATGCTGGCACCCCAAGGGGTTATTTTATCAGTCTGTTGCAACAATCTCAGCAAGTCGTTTTGTGCTTAGCCTCTCCAGATCCATTTTTGCAATCTCAAGAGCTGATTGTCCCCAAACCACAACAGGGAAAGTGTGAGCCATTTCTACTCAATCTGAGTCCTGAGGGTTTATATATATATATATATATATAATAGGGGAATAAGGAATAAAGAAAGTTCCAAAGCCTGATCAAAAAGGTTATAATTTAAGAGAGAGGAAGGAAGGGAGAGAGAGAGAGAGGGAGGGAGGGAGGAAGGAAGGAAGGAAGGAAGGAAGGAAGGAAGGAAGGAAGGAAGGAAGGAAGGAAGGAAGAAGGAAAGGAAGGGGGGAGGGAGGAAAGAAAGGGAGGGAGGGAGGGAGGGAGGGAGGGAGGAAGGAAGGAAGGAAGGAAGGAAGGAGCTGAATGCACCTGTTGAGTTTGGCTGTTACACATGGTTTGGTTTGGATGGTAAGAAACAAAATCATTAATAGTTATTATTGCCAGGAAGTGCTTTCTGAGTAAATACACAGTTTGTCAATCACATGAATAATATATTTTCTTCTTCTTTTCTTGTGCGAGTTCAACATGACAACCCAAGGTTAACTTAGCAAGTTAAATCCTGGTTTTCAGAATTAACCCCAATGCCCGGATTCATATACAGTAGCTTATTATCTGAATCACCTTTGCTTAGACAACCTCCAGGGTAGACTTCAGTTGCCCCAAATGTTCAGAGTTCTGGGTGTTGTAGTCGGTACACTAGAAAGTCCACATTTTGGAAAAGTAAACCAAGCCACTACAACCAGGTGTTTTCAACAGACTGTGGGAAGCATGCTGGCTGGCCAATTGTGGGAGTTGAAGTCCGCGTATCTCAACATTGCCAAGATTGAGGAAACCCTGAGAAAGAGGACGATAGGTTGGGAAACACTGTCTTAAATGAATCCATAAGTGCCTACTCATTTCCTTTACATTCTATCTTTACCATGCAGGACTACATACAAGCCCAGTTGCAAAGCGTGCTAGATGGAATGGAATGATTAGCCTATGATTTGGCATCTCCTGGAAACCTGGCCATTGTCTTGGCAGTGAGTGTGAACCAGACCACTAATGAAGTCATTTGGTTGCAAACACAAGAAAGGTGTTGATAAAAGAGAATATTTGCAGCTCAGGGTTGAGCTCACACTGATGACGTTATCTAGTTTGGTAATGAAACGTCTGCCAGAAAACAAGAAAGGTGTTTTTAAAACCTGGCTTTAAAGTGCTGTGTGAAGCTTGATATATTCTTTCCTCTGCCCCTTTTAGTAACGCTCTGAGATTGGACATAAATGCTATTTTCACCCCGGATGCTCAGATCTGTATTCAGAAGGAACCCACTTCTGACTGGGCACAATATACCGATCCATGCACGAAGCAAACAGGAAATATTTATTTGCAATGTCAGGCCAGGAAGAACCCAAGGGAGGTGAACTCGGATCAAATTTTGCTTTGCTTTTTTAATTGGTTTAAGCATGTTGTCTGAATAGTGCCTTTGACTGGTTTTTTTTGGGGGGGGGGTCACTTTGCAACCAAGACCTTTCCTTCCCTGGTCCTAAAGGTCGCTATCCCATTCCTGCTTCTCCTTCCAGTTATTTTTTTTGTTTTTTTAGTCATTGATCCAACAGCCCCACTTCTCCCCCCACCCCACTGCCACCGCTACTCCTTCTACAGGACCTTGGTGGAAGGTTTAAAGGTGCAAGAAAGTCACTCGGAAGCAGACTAGAGGCGCCTGCCCCCCATTACCGCCCCCCCCCCGTCAAAATTGCCTCTGGCTCTTACTCCATTCTCTGCCCGTTTCCTTCTCCATGGGCAGGACGCGGGCGCTCACGTGCGTGCGTGTGTGTGTTTGTGTGTCTTCGTGCGCCTTAGTTGGGGGGGAGGGAAGCAGAAGAAGAGACCCACGCTTCGCTCCCGACTCCCATGCAGGTCTTTTTTAGAGAAGCTGCAGCAGCCCCAGTCTCCGCCCCTCCTCCTTGCAGGGGAGGGGGGCGCGCGTTTCCTAGCAAGACTTTTCCCCGCTGGAGAACTTGGCCAGCGCTCTGGCGGCGGGGGGTGTGTGGCGGCGGCGGCGCCGACGGTGGTGGAGGAGGAGTGGGGACACTGAAGGGAGAAGGGAGAGAGAAGGGACTTGACTCTTTTTTTCTCCTCGCCCCCCCTTCCCCGCGATCCGCTTTCCCTTTGCAAAAAAAAAAACCCCAAAACCAATCCATTCCGTTCTTTCTCCAGCCTCCTTCCCTTCTCCACCTCCTCCCCCTCCACTCTCCGTCTCTGGCGGGTCTTTTGATTCCCCCCCCCCCGGCCTTCCCAACGGCGTGAGTCCTCCCCCCAGTTCCCCCCTCCCCCCGACTCTTGCCGCTCCTGCTCCTCCCCCCTCCTTCTTTTGGCCACTCATTCACTCTCTCTGGGTGTCTCTCCACACTCTACAAGTGCCGCCGCGCTCACACTTCCCTCCCCAGCTTTGGAAGCTGTGAGAAGGTGGGAAGAGGCGAGGAGGGGGGTCTGGCGGGGAGGAGGAGGAGGGGTACCCCGCCCCCCCCAACCCCGCATGCTCGGCAGAGGCGGCCCTGCAAAGCTGCGCGGAGCTGTCCGCGGTCCTGAAACCCCGGAGCTGTCCGCGGTGCTGACAGCCAGCCCTAGCTACGAACTGCGGGGAGAAAAGCGGAAGAGCGTGCCGACGGAGCCTGCCCGAGAGAGACCCCCCTTTATGTACAATCCTTGGCGCAGCGCCGGAGCGTCGGGAGCCTTGAATTGCGGCGGCGGCGGCGGCAGCGGCGACAGCAGCAGGAGAGGCAACCTCAGGTGTCCTGGTGTTGCGCTGCGAAGGATGAAGGGCTTCCTCCGTTTGGTTTTGGGCTACCTGGCAGCAGACCTCCTCCCCCCTCTCCTGTGTCAGGCGCAGGAGAAAGTCGGGCAACACCTGGGCAGCATCGTGATGCTGTTCGACTCCGGCGGGAACCACAGCCGAGCGGGTGAGCCTCCACCCGCCGACGCCTCGGAGCCGCCCCCCAGCCCGGAAGCATGCCGGGGCTACTTTGATGTGATGGGCCAGTGGGACGAGGCTTTCAACTGCAGCGTCCGCGGCTACCCATTTTGCTGTGGCACGTGTGGCTTCCGTTTCTGCTGCCAGGATCAGAAGAGGCGGCTGGACCAGGACGTTTGCACCAACTATATCAAGCCCCCCTGGCTTAACGGGCGCAAGATGACCAACCGCCCCATGGACTCATCCCATGACCCCACCCGTGACAAGACCAATCTCCTTGTCTACATCATCTGTGGGGTGGTTGCTGTGATGGTTTTGGTGGGCATCTTCACCAAACTGGGGCTGGAGAAAGCACACCGGCCCCAGCGGGAACACATGTCCAGGTAAGCTGAGCCCCTTCCCTCCTCCTTCCTTTCAGGGATCCTCCCCTTCCCAACCCACTCCACCTCCCCCCCCGATGCCATATGCCACCTGCTGCAGGCCTGTTCTGCTGTTTTGGCCTTGGGGAGGGAAACCCCTCCCAGCCACGATGGGGTGAACATCTTCTCTTCTTGGAGTGTGTCTGTGGGGATAAGTGCATGTCCTCTCTGTCAAAAGCGAGGGGGAGGTTTTGCAGGGGCAGTCAACACACACGGTCTTGTGCAATTGTGGCTTCAAGAGTGAGGTGGACAGGAAAGAAGTCACATGCACTTGCAGATGTTGGAGAAGCAGCAATGACGAAAACCATTAAGGTTGTTGGGTTAAGGTAGCCAGAACCATAGAAAGATTTTTCCCCATTGCATCTGTTGGAACTCTGATGGATGTGTAGGACCAAATCCTCTGCGGGGGACAAATCAACACCCAGCAGTATGCCCATCCACCAACACACACATACACTCACATGTGTCTGCATGCACACACCCCTTTTATCACTTTGCTACTTGGGCTCAAAAAAATGGGGGCCTTTCCTGTAATTCCCAATCAGTCTCCTTCCAATCCAGAGCTCAACAAAAGCAGAGATATACCCTAACATGGAATCCATCAGATAACTATGCAATTCCAGGTGGTCCAATTCACAAAAACCCACCCTGGAGGTGTAAATTTGCAAAAGCTTGGTCCCTACAGTAAAGATAGGGATGCTCAATAGCATGATAACATCACATGCATATTCTGCTGTCTGATGAGAACAGACACTGGGTGAAAAGCAGTGTGTGGATGTGTTTGTGGTGCACCCATTTATTTCAGAGCTATACCCACTGAGCAATGGCTGGCTTAGTTCAAACCTACACTCACTTCTCTTGCCAAACAATGCTGCTGGGTTCAAGCTGTTTGTAACTCCAACCGCCTCAGGGGGCAAGGACTGGGCTGGTGGAATCTGTTTTTGGCCTGTTGCCTCTTCTTGAAATTCCATCCAGCATCTCCCCACCAAATTTCCCTGCTCTCCCCCACCCTGATGGCAACAGGAGGGACTCAAAGTTGCAATGCATTTGTCAAGTTAGAGGGTCTGTCTGATTCATTATGCTAATCCCCAACACATGAAAGCAAAGCAGATGGGGAGAGACATTTTGTAGATCAAATAAAAACAATTAAAAGCAACCAAAAAAAAGGAGGAGGGGGAGAGAGAAACAGAGCAAATAGCTTCATTGGAGAAGTAAGAAAGCAAGGGTGCTTTGTGGTGCGTGTTCTCCTTGGGTTGGGTAATGGAGGTGAGAACTGTTGTCAACAACCAGGTAGCTTTTCTGTGCCATATCAGATGGATATCTGCTTACGGAAGAAGTTCTCAAGAGGAACAATGGTCTCACCAGAAAATGCTTTTTTATTGGGTGCAGATGAAGTGAGTGATGGCCAGTCAAGGTTCTCCATCTGGGGTCTATCTCCCTTCCCATTCTCTCTCTCTCTCTCTCTCTCTCTCTCTCTCTCTCTCCTCCATCCCCCAACCTTCAGGATGGATTAAATACCTGGAGTACCTTTCCAGCCTGGGATCCTGCAGTTTGCTTTGTGATTAACAGCTCCCCTCTGCATTCAGGCACCCAAAATAGTTCTCAGAATGCATCACCCATTCCTTTCACTAGCAATTATTTGCTATTTATAAACTGGCTGATGGGAGATCATTTTTTTACTACCAAGAAGAAAGCCATAGTACAGGCATTGGTAGGGACCCAAAGCTCCTGTGATCTTCTCTAAGGTTTGTTAGGGGGGGGGGGGGAGAGTGAGACAGAGAGAGCTTGCTCCTGTCCATGGTGAGGCATCTAATCCACTAACTCCAGGCCAAGAAAGTTCAAGGATGCCTTTCTGTCTTCTGCTTTTTGAAAAGATTGGAAAAAGATCCTTCCTTCCCCTTATTCAGATCTCCGTGTTTCTGTAGTCTCTATATTATATCAATACAGGTGTAATGTAAAACACCGAGGTCACCATATCATGTTATTGCGGAAAGAAGAAAGAATGGGAACCGATGTGTTTACACACATCCTGCAGAATCTGAGGTTCGGTGCAGTTAAACAAGGCCCCAGTTTTGATCATTTGCTTCTTGGCTGTCGTCGTCCCTTCTGCTTAATTCTCCTTTCCAGAAGGGAGTTGTCCTCTCTGTGATCAAACCTTTCCTTGAAATCTAAATTCTCCAGGAAGACCTAACTGAACATTCTTCCATTTTTTTCCCCTCCACCGTTGTAAGGTGTTATTTGCCTATATCCACTGCTTGTTGTTTCCAAAAAGCTAACTTTTAGAAAATAATTTCCTTGGGGACTAGTGGGCTGGGTGTGTGTGCTTCCTGCAGGCAATCCTGACTGAGGACTAAAGGAAGGAATGGAAGCTACGATTGCCCAAACAGGACACCTTAAACCAGAGAAAGGCAATGGCAAGGTTCGTTAGAGTCTGTTTTGTGATTGCGACAGTCCTGAGATCAATCAAGTAGAGTACATTATAAGCAACAGTGAACTGGTTCTGAACAGAATGTCTGTAAGACTATACGGAAGTCAGGAATCTCTTCAGATGCTCCAAAATGTATTTTACTCCTAATTTTTTCACAACCAAATTTCTCCTGGTTATTCCAAGCTCACTCCCTTCAGCTGTGTGTGGAGAGGAGATTTGTTGGATTTTGCTGTTCTCTGTTGGGATCCAAGATTCCTGCTGATCTAAGTTGCCAGAGACTTGACAGTAGATCTTGACTGGCCTTTGACCCACCCCGGCCTTAAAACCTCTTCTTATCAGGAGACCGGCCATCTGTAATGGAGACAATCTCACCTCTGACTTCAGGAGTCTAAGGGTACAAAACGGAACTGGTGAATGGGGGCATCTCTTCAACCTGAGCGGCAGAGTCGCGAGTAAGTCTAGGCTGGTGTATCCCACATTCCATCTCAAACAATGTCCAGTTAAAGAGTCCACAGGTCAAGGTGTTGAGAAGATGATATTGAACAAAATAGCATAGGATCTCCTGCCATTTGCAGGGGGTTGGACTGAAAGACCTCCAAGGTTCCTTCCTATTCTACATTCTGTGTTCTAAAATGGACAAAGCAGAACAGGACAGAATGGACAGAACAGAATAAGAGAGACCTCCAACAGATGTCCCTGTTGGAGGTCCCTTCCAACTCTGTTATTCTGTTCTGTGGTTGAAGAAGCAGTTGGGCTCCTTGCTAGGTGCCCAAGGCAGAACTTTATTTAAACCATCCTATGATTCCTTGGCCTCTCTAACAGCCAGGCAACTTTTCATGTTAGTTTCACATTCTTGCAGCATCCAAAACTATTACAATGATGAACGCATCATTCACGTAACTTATTTTACCTGGTAACTGAATTAATCTTTTTTTTGGGTTGGCACTACAGATGTGCAAAACCCATCCTAAGTTCACCAGATAGAACGGATTCACACATTAAGCCTCTTTCTCTTAGTAAATGTGTATGTTTTGTGCATGGATGTTTGCACGTGTGGACGTGTGTCTGTTCCTCTCTACCATCTATCTAGCCTAATCACGATAAACACATACCGAGCTTTCCACAGAGAAGAAGACCCCAAGGTTTTTTCTGACCTGGTTAAGCTAGTGCAGCGAGTGTAGTTGAAAGATAATCATTTCAGGCTGAAAAAGGGCAATTTATACAACTCAATCTTCCTTTTTTTTATTTATTGAGGATACTTAACAGCTTTTGCATTGATCCAAGCTTAAACTCCTTGCTAGCATTAAACACATTATAGCGGAGATGTTGCATGGCATTCACCAGGCATTAATGTGACTATTTATTAATGGCATTAATACATATGGCTGCAAATGGTAAGAAATTAGGTGTTTGAGTCCTCCTTGAGTCCTGCCTCTGTCCAAGTTAGCTTTCTAGATCTGAAGGCCTAGAAAGCTAGAACCATTGGTACTTTGGAAGGGGGTGAAAATTAGATCTTTAAGAGAACATATGGAGATAGAATAGAAGGTTAATTATTCCGTGGACATGTGGCATCATGGAGCAATAGTTGAGATTAATGGCATTTTTTGTCTTCTTCTTTTGTGCTTCTACATTGCTTATTTTCAACTTTAATCACCCCATTGGGGATTTGTGATATATTCTATTTGGTGTTGTAGTGCTTAGGCATTAGGCTAGAACCTGGGAGAAAGTGAATTCTAGTTCACAAACCAATTGGGTAACACTTGGGCCAATCACTCTCAATAAGCCAATAAATCTTCAGTGGTAAAAATAGCGGGATGCCCACCTATTTAGTGCACGAAAGCAAGCAAGGGATTCACTCTCCTTCAATTCTGAAATCTTGTTCTTTTGGCTAAGCTAATTCTCTGTTCCTGGCACCTTCCCTTTGACTCTGTTTTGGGTCTGTTATGGTTGGAGGTTTGAAGGTTGGAAAAAAGAAAGAGGAATGTTCTGGTCTGTTTCCCAGCCCTTCTTGACAGTGAAAAGTCTGGACAAACCTAGACTGATGGAAAGGCAAGCAGCAGCCCAAAAGAGAAGAGGCAGAAAAACTTAGGAAAAGTTTGAACAAAGCATACAACAGAACACTAGTGAAAAAAAAATCTGAAATAAGTCTATAGAATTGTAAGGGAATTGTAGAAAAAATAGGAGAGCCAGCTTGGTGTAATGGCTAAGGTATCAGGCTAGAAACTGGAAGACTGTGAATTCTGGACTTAAATGATAGATAGATGAAAGATGGCAGATTATAGATAGATGATAGACAGACAGACAGATAGATATGAAGATAAAATAGAAAATAGATATGAAGATAAAATAGGTATTAGAGGACAAAATAACCAAAGCTTTTACAAGGAGAAACATCTCTCTATCTATCTATCTATCTATCTATCTATCTATCTATCTATCTATCTATCTATCTATCTATCTAATCCATCCATCCATCCATCCATCCATCCATCATATCTCTGTATCTATTTATCATCTATTCATTTCTCTATCATCT